TAACAGGTGTTCTTAAAATCAAGAATGGAAATTAGGAGATTTATGATATAATCTAAAGCTACCAAAATCATAATAAAACTCTACAGAAATTCATGTTTTGTTGGAAATTAGGAGATTTATGTTTCTGCTTTGCTTACAAACTTGAGGCCATAGTTTTCTACCATCACTCAACCTATAAAACAGCTTCCATTGCACATTATGCTGCACAGGGTTTCCACACTAAGAAAAAAAAAACTTCAACTGTTAAAGTGAACTTACACAATAGATTAAATAATTCCCTGTGGTTCAGACATACCTGCTCTCTTCTTCTTCTTCTTTTTTATTGAAAATAAGTGCTTTGTCATCAAATTTTACATCCACTAACAAGCTTTTTAGCAGAGGGACACAGTTTCTCAAGCAACCAGTCGTGCTCCTCGACGACTACTTCAGTTTGCAGTGAGAGATGCTGTCAGAACTTTGAGACCATCAGGCATGGTAAAAGAACCCTCACTGAAGCGTCTTCGTTCAGTAGTGTCTACATCTACTGAGGACACATCATTGGTTGATCGTCCTAGGAGGCTCCAGTCAATTGCAAGAGTTCCAAAACCCATGGCTACTGTATTAAAAGCTGTGCAAGAAGCTGCTGAAGATGTAGTAAAAGTTAAATCTTCAGGAAGCGTGTTTGATCGGCTTGGTCGTGATATGGATGCATCATTGACCACTGAACAAGTCACTGAATTTAGAGATGCTGTTGTTGAAGATGATGAATATGAAGAACTTAATGGAATTCAGGAGCAAAACCACTCAAACTATCCTCAAAGAAGCAAGTACTGTGGACATGCAGGGGCTATGAATATGATGGAGCATGAAGCTGGATTGACTTCTGATTTGATGTCTGATAATGAAGGTTATGATGATGCCAATGTTGTGGATCATAGGGTTATGGATGTTTCTCAAACTGGCACATCTTACGGAAGCAAGGGCGAGGATGCACTTATGTCAAAATACAATGTAGCTAAGGATCAGGATATATCTGTTTCAGCTGCAAACACTTCTCTTAAAATAGTAAACATTTCCGTGAATGTGAACACATGGAGGCCACCTCATTATGAAGAACCCAGGGATGCTGCAATGGATAATCAGAAATCGGTTCAGAATAATGAAGGAAATGCTGGGAGATTTGGTGCTAAGCTAATGAAGGAGGTTAGCAAGACTGTCTCAGTTGGTAATGGAAATGTAAGATACTCTTGTTTGCCTGGGTTCTTTATTCTTCTTGCCTTTTCCCTTATGAAATCACTTGCCATTCCTCCTTTGCATTGACTGATGACACTTTTTTTGTGGCGTGATGATGAACAGGCAAAACCTGCTGGTGATATTCAGCATGAACCTCAGAAGCCTCTATCATCTGCATCCGGTCAGTTCTATAGAATCTTCTAAGTGCCACTGAACCTGTTGTTCTAATATGAAATGAAATTTATGTGAGTTTTGTTGCGACTTATGGAGTTACCCATTTGGGTGTTTTTCATGGTTGACATCATCTCAAACTCATCTATGGCAAGACGGTCGCCATTCTGATATGTGTCCTGCTTGTTTCTTATGGCCATTTTTCAGTAATATTTAAATGAGGTTGTTTTGGATGATTCTTCAGGTCCATATACTGCAGGTTGCCCCTTAGAAGATGCTGATTCTCGAACCATTTTTGTTAGCAATGTAAGTGCTGATGTGCATCAAGCTGTAGCTTTGAAGGATCATTCATCACTGTATTCTTGTAATATTTTCACCGCTTTATTCACAGGTTCATTTTGCTGCAACTAAGGACAGTCTGTCTCGGCATTTTAACAAGTTCGGTGAAGTACTTGAAGTGGTTATAGTAACTGATTCAGCAACAGGACAACCAACAGGGTGAGTTGTTTTACACTAGTCAGATCTGTTTCCTTGGCAATTTTGGGAATTGATTTTTGTTGGGGCTAAGTCAACATGACTATGCAGGTCAGCTTATGTGGAATTTATGCGCAAAGAGGCAGCGGACACTGCATTGTCTCTTGATGGCACCTCATTTATGTCACGTATTCTGAAGGTGATGAACATAGAGACCATCTTAATTTGCTACAAGCAGTGGTTGTTTCTGTATTGTTTTTTTTTGCTTGCATGTCTGTCAGCTGAGTAGTATGTTCTGTGCACTTTCCTTTTTTTCTCGAACTTTGTTTATTGGTTTGGTAGATATATGAAGTTGCCAAAATTTGAAAAAGTTAAATCAATGGCTGCATCAGCTTGAAGATTTTTTTGTTATGATGTCAATATTTACTATGAAAAAAATGAACCATGCTCGTGTGCTTTTGCTCCTCATCAGCTGTGACTTAGTAGTGGTTGTTTTGCAAGTTTTCTTGCGGCCACTATGTGTGCTCTTCTCATGCATGTGGGGGCTTGCAAGTCCCTGTGTGCCTGCATGCATTCATAAATGAAAAGTATCGCAAAAGTACATGGAATGACTCCATGATTGAAAGTTGTTGAGATTTGTTCGGTTGTATATATTTTTATAAGGCCTGAGTTCTTTTACAAGCATATATTGAGCAATCAAGTTTGAGTGCTTCTGATATCTTAGGAGCTTTAGATGATTTTAATAGGTAAAATGATAATTGTGCAATGTGGTGTTGTTTCACAGAAGTTACGTGGTCCAAGCTGGTAGAGTCACACATGCCTGCTTGTAGATGAAGTGTTAAAACTGCAGTTTTCAATTCCCATTGATAACAAGGAAGCATCTTATTTTCTAAGGAGCAACCAGAACTTAAAGCATACTTTCATTTTAGCTTGAAAGGATGGTAGCTATGATTTAGATTTCATAAGCAATTTGTTGGAACCGATGCACATTTTATTACTTTCTTAGGAGTCTGCTCCAAGATTTGGTAGGCATCTTAACTATATTTTTGTCATGCAGGTCATGAAGAGAAGCTCTTCCAACCAAGAAGCTAATCCTATTACAACATGGCCCCGCATTGCCCGTGGATCTCCGTATACTGCTGGTAGGTTTTCTAGAGCGGCTTTTCCAAGAGGCACTCCTGCTGCATTTAGGCCTTGGCTCCATGTGAAACCTGGTGCGAGAAGTTTGCAGTGGAAGCGAGATGCTCAAGCTACTCCAGCTGGGAGTAGTGCTGCAGTCTCTGGCAGCAGTGTTATCTCCCCTTCTGCCCGCAGTCTCACCTATGTTCGCACAGAACCAAAACCAGATCGGTATTCGAGTACTGCCGGAGTTTGATAGCTCATGTTTTCTTTTCCCTGAACATCCAGATTTTGATAGTTACAGGTTGCATAAAAATGCCTGAATCGTAACTCTGGCAGATTTTTGGTTCTAGGAAAGAGATGAATCCACAGATCTTCATCCTCGGATGAAGATTTTTCTGTACATGGAGGCATATGCTAAAATTAGCGAATACTTGAGGTGTAGTGAATAAGAAGGGTTTCTTATAGCAAATATTTTGGGTTAGTCTTCTTTTAGGGGCTGGAATTTGCTGGATCTGAATGGGAAAATACCTGGGAGGTTGGTACTCTCGCAAAGCTGTCCCACCCGAGTTACATACACCATTAGATTTAATTTTGTGAATAGGAAGGATGCGTAGACGATACGTTTGTCTTGAGGGATTTTATTTTGTTCAGTTTTTTTTTTAATTGAAAAAAGAGAGAAGAGAGTGAAAAAGAAAACAAATAAAAAAATAAAAAGAATTGACTAAGTTGCTGTTGTTAGAGCATGTGCTCACCTTCTCTTTAGTGTGTCCAAAAATCAGGAAAAAAAAAAAAAGCATCGGGGGTTTTCGTTGCTTTGCTTTCATGTTATACTTGAAGATCTCCTAGGTTGGTTGGTGAACATGTTGCCAACTTTTACACAGGAAGGCGATATGTAGTCTTTAGTTTTCGCTTTGGTTGTGTTTTTTTTCATTGCGTGCTATCCATTAAATCAAACTTGGTCCAGGAAGCCATTACGTGAAGCAGGTGGGGAAATCATTCAGTTAGAAAAGCCCCTCGTATAATTCGTTGCCGAAACTTCGAAAGTTCCCGGATCTACAGCAACAGGTTACATCTACAATAGCAGTGGCACCCAAATAGGTGCCTTGCTGATCTCTTGCGTAGCTCCTATAGCCACTCTTCACGTTAAATCTGTGACGGCCCATCGCATGTGCCTCTACTTGCACAGTAGGATCGAGATCTGCTTTTTATTATACAGCAACCAAGCCTATGCCGTTAGATTTAGATAGCTAGGTGGCACCAGTATTTTACTTTGTACAATTCTTCCTCGGGGTTTTCATACAAGGCTGTTCGGCTATGAGAGTTTCATCCTACAAAACAGTCTCCTGGTGCGGTTCTTTGAGCAGGGAACAAAGTCGTAGCATCAAGGAGACCCCTAACATGATCCATATTCCAATAGAGCATGTTAGCATCCATATTCCAATAGATCATGTTAGGAGAGATCTGCAAGGTCAAGGGGCGTAAGTTGATCCATATTCCAATAGAGCATGTTAGGAGATAGATCATGTTAGAAGAGATCTGCAAGGTCAAGGGGCGTAAGTTCCATATGATGTTGCAAACTCACTCAAAAACGAGAATTCCCCATTAGATGACACCTTTTCAGTTTCGCTCCTATCTTCAAGTGTTCTTTTGATCAGCAAAACATCTACTCTACGAAGAAAGTTTCTTCTTGTTGGGTGGCTGTATAGAACAATTTAGAATGAAAGTACATGGTGCTTTTTACTTGAAGTGTGGCTGAATTTTCTGCAATTCCAAATTTTCTGGACAGCGTTGAGATTCAATTTCTGCACCTAAACCTTGATCGTAAGTAAAGCTTAACAATTACCATTAATATACGATGTTGTTAGAATCAACAATTCATGGATGGAACTGGTTTCTAGCAAATTTAAATGAAAATAGTATATCATTAAAGTATAGTTATCACTGACAGTTTAAAGAACATTCCTGCGTCACACACTAGAGCTAATGGCGGATGCAAGAAAACTTGGTCCAGTGTAGACAACTCTCGGCAATCGCTCCCCAAACCATTAACCCCACCCCCGATCCTTTCTAGTCCCTCTTATCTTTCTGCATTGTCCAACGCCAGAGCAGGTTGATAGGGAAAGAAACTATTTAAACCTGTTCGGATGTTTGAACAACAACTGACTAACAAATGAACCAAGAGTCCAGACATGGCTGATATTATTGGATCAGCCAATGGACATGTCTAAGGGATTAAAAACTCAAAACCCTTATACCCATGAAGCTGAGTTGCACGAAGACTGAATTCCCAAAGGAGCTAGAAAGCATAAATCCCGTTATTGGTAGGGCTACAAATACAAATAATGACGGATACCATTCAGACTTCCCTAATAGCTATCAAATCATTACTCCCATGCTCAAAATGGCGATGATGGCGAATCTGTTACATAAGAGTTGTATTCAACAGCAAAGCCCAAATAGACCTGGCCAAAAATAATAGGCACATTCGTACCCAAAATCGCGACCACCATGACAAGAATTTTCTGTCTGGGGCATCTTACGAAGTATAGCAAACACAACAATGTCAAAGACTCTTTAAGAAAATCTAACCATGAGAATCAACATTTATTATTATGATAACTGAGACTTGATAATCAAAATGGAAGAAATCATCTTGACAACGAAGTGATCAACAGCCCAACTGACATCCCCGCAATGCACAAAAAGGAAACCCCACGAACCCTCACAAAGAAGATATTCAAGTTTTTAGCAACCTGAAGTGTTAAAGTCAAAATCTGCAACCTTCCTAGCTCCTCCATCTTCTTAAAGAAGTACATTGGCTTCAATGATTGCCTCAACATAAAAGCCAATGTAAAAGGGAATCCGAAGGCCACAAAACTTTGAATTGACACCTCAGTCATGGGAGTTGCTTTTGTAACATAAGAAATCAAGGCTCCAATTCCTAGTTGAACCAGACCCAGCACAGCAACAGCCCTGCTCAGACCATAAATATTCTTCATCATACTTTCCAAAACCTCTCTGGTCTCATTGGCTAAAGCTGAGAGATCCCTCTCTACAGTTGGTCCCTCAATTTCTTGGTGTTTCAGATCAGGGATTTGGCTTGGATGCTCGCTTTGGTTTTGGGACTTATCGGATTCTGATGGTGAATTTGAACTTGAAAAATATCTGGGTTTAAGGTTCAACAACCTAATAAATCTAGGATTTTTCAGCTCACTATCCAAACTAGAATCCTTGGATTTTGTAAAAATAGAACCTTTTTTATTGAAATCAGGGGTTTTAACTGGATTTTGGGCTTTTCCAATAGCAGATGCGGAAAAAAAACTTGAACGAGTAAAGTCATGTCCTCTGGTTTTAGTACTAGAACGAGAGTACGATCTAATAAAATAGAGAGTAAGATTTGGGGGTTTTGGATCTATTAGTGATTGGTGTTCCAGAGTGGAGTAACGAGCAGGAAAGCTTGAAAAGGAATTAGAGATATTGAGATTAGTTTTTAAGGTTGGTTGTCGAGAAAGACTGGAATTAGAATCAAGGGAAGGGTGGTTTTGGGGTCCATGGGAGATCAAAAGGGAGGAAATAGACGAGGAAAGAGAGGGTTTTAGTAACTTATGAGAGAGCTTACGTGAGATCACCACGGAAGCCATACTGGTGTGGTGTGCTCTAAAGTCTAAGACCAGAAATCTTGCAGTGGCTATTGATCTGCAGTGCAGACATACATCGGGTAGCGATGGTGGTTGGTGGAACGAATGGATTTTGACTTGTTGCAGAGCTTGAGTCCATGCCCGATTCTTTCTTTTTCAACCAATCCAGCCCAACCCAAATCTTCAGATTCACTTTCCCAGGAACCTATTCAATTGACGAGGTTCTACTGGTAGTAAATTATAAAATATAGCAACACCTGCACTCAAAACGTTGGGCCGTGGAAACCCTAGAGCCTGGAATTGAAAACTGAAAGCTTCGTTTATAGAAAAGCCATAAGAAACGGTCGGGCTCTTAAGATACTTGGGCCGATTCTTGTTTTCCATTTGATACTCTCACCCCCAACGTTCTACTTCAAGTAATTTCAACCTTTAATTTTTGCTTAGATTTTCTAGGTTGTGAACAACACTTTCGATTTCTTGAATAGCATCAGAAGATCATCCTAGTGCCAAGCTACGAAGCAATAATCAGGGACTTGAATACTTCATTATCCAGCGAAAAATATTGTAACATTTTCATAAAATACATAAAAGTCACTACACAAACACACATTCTAGCTACGAAGAGTTCAATGCAGGATGACCCCAAAAACATAAAACACAAGAGAAAATCCAATAGCAGCAACCGAAGCAGAATAAGAAACAGCCGATCCGGCAGCCATTAGCCATTGCTGGCAAGGGAGCCGGAGCATCATCGAAAGCAAGGACAGTGATTTTTGAGCACAACATTGCAAGAAGCACAAGAGAAGAACCAGAAGAAAACTTCACACAGGCCATTGCCAAAACTACTTGCTGCCCAGAACAAAACTAAAAATATACGGTATCCTTGCTAGTTGCTACTTCAATGCGGGTTATTAATAGACCTTGTGATTACAGGGAGATATGCCTGGTAAGCCCATTTCATCTCTCAATGGATGGTTAGCATGTGTGCACCAGGATGAGTCCAGGAGGCAGCAGACTGTCATTTGTGTGAATAGTTGATGATGGCACGTAATGTAATGTTGGTATTGTTTGGGAATATAGTGTAAATTATATTTTATAAAAATTGAATTTTTTTATTAAAAATTAATATTTTTATGTATTTTGAATTGTTTTGATAAACTAATTTTAAAAAATAAAAACTATTATTTTAATATATTTTATCATAAAAAATATTTATCCACTGTTACATTTATAAGCAACACTTCATGGTCTCTGAGGGGCGCGACACAGATTGCTTTGTTTGCATTGGTTGCGCAATCCTCTGCGACCCTGGCGCCCACCAATAAGCTGTCCTTGCACAGTAATGGTGTTAAATTTCAGAAAGCATGTGCCGCAAGTGTTGCGGGGTTAAAATGTTGTTTTTTAAATTATTTTTAATATCAGAAAATAAAAATAATTTTAAAAAAATAATTTAAAATTAAAAAAATAATTTTTTTAAAAAATACTTTTAAAATATAAAAATAAACAATTCCAAATACAATTTAAATCTAGGAGGGCATAATAATTCGTTCCACGCAGACTGACAATCCAAGAAATAGTAACACTTTATTAATTTACATGAAATCTGATAGAATATTTTTTTAAAAAAAAACCTCAACTATATGAACGAATGGTAAGGCAGTGTTTTAAGAAATAACTTGAATTGGCCCCCTATTAGATGATAATAACTGCCCGTGCGCTTGCATATCAACACTGATGTTAATAGGTTAGAAATTGTGGTATAAAATGTTTTTTAAAGACCTTTTTGTTTAAAAATATTTTAAAATAATATTGTTTTATTTTATAAAATTTATTGTTAATATTAATATATTAAAATTCAAAAAATATAAAAAATAATTTAATTTATTTTTAAAAAAATATGGTTGTACAATCTAAATTGATGCTGTGAGAGAGAGAGAGTTCAAAAACGCAAATAATAAAAAATTTGCTTTTTTTTTCTTTTTCTCTTTGTTGTTTTCTATATAATCAATTATCAAGGAAATTAAAGCTATAGTCATCAACCCAAAAGCCCAATACTTAAAATAGCCCAGCAAAAGAGAGAAAAGTTGAGCACAGAAGCGTATTATATTAATCCAAGATTAAATACACTGAAAAATGAATAAACTTTCACCAAAAGTTGGTTATTTTATTGAATTCTATAAAATTGATAACATGAGAATCAAACAAATCAGAAAGAGGAGAAATTCTCCGCAATTCTTTGCATTGAAAAAGAAATTCTAAGAAAATAAAGCTAGAACATCTTGATACATGCATCCTTTTACTCTCCTCTCTCTCTTGAAACTCCTTGATTCCCCATCTCCTTCTTTAATTGGTTTGAGGTGTGAACAATTTACTGCAAGTACAAAGCAATGAATGAAGCAAGGGAGGCACCAACCAATGAACCAACGATCGGTAAGCTAGCTGATGCACCACTTGCTGGTGACGGGGCAGGAGCAGCAACCTCATGATCAGCCATCACTGCACTCACGGAGGCAGCAGCGAAGAGAATAGCGCATGCAATCTTCTTCATTTCCATATCTGTTTTTCAGGCAGTGAACGGCAAAATAACCTCGCGAAAACGATGGAAAAGACTTTGCCGAACCTGCTTTGATACAGAGCTTGCAGCCTGAAAAATATTCGTGGCATGGTGGTGATATATATAGGGCCGGGGTTGGGGGGTGGAGCTGTTGTTGGAAGATAACAGCTGTTTTTGCGCACTAATCTTGGTCAAACTTGTATAAATTAGAGGCTTGTTTTTTTGGTTTCTTAGTGGCGAAGCTCCTTGTTTTGAGCGAGTCTTGTGCTGTGGAGGATATTGTGTGTTTCTCCAAGTGATATGGCAAAGAGAGAATCCAACAGTTTTAACAATTCAACTTCGTTTTTTGGATTAATAGATAGAGGCGCATTTAATTTTGGATTAAAGGGTTTATGGAGAACTTCATCGGAATTCCTGGTATTATTAATCATATCATATGATGTCTACAAAACTATTAACCATGTTATTTAATTTCAGAAAATTCTTTATTAATTATATTACTCAAATTTAATTTGATGAACTAACTAATAGCTCATTCCAAGTCTATTCAGTATTCTTACTCTTGTATATTAGGGTAACTCTTTTATTTTTTAAATTATGTAATTAAATAAATAAACACATTTAATTTAATTTAACATCCGTTTGTTTGTTAAAAAGTATTTTTTTTAAAGTAAATTATAGAAAAACAAATTATTTTCTGATGTTTGGTAGTGTAATAGAAAATTAGTTGTATAATACTTTTCAGTATTTGGTTATATAATAGTTATATAATACTTTTCAGTATTTGGTTATATAAGAAAAAATGATAAGAATAAAACAAATAACAATTATAAAAATAAGAAACAAAGTTAATATAAAAATTAAATTTTAAGAGATGAAATTGAAAAATAAATATACAAAAGAAAATATATATAGCAATCAAAAGTTTAAGGATCAAATTTGATATAATCAGTAAATAATATAATATTTTTAAATTTTTTATAACTTTTGAAAAGTATTTTTCACCCAAATTTTTTAGAAAAATATTTTTCAAAAAATCAAGTTAAATTTTTTTTTAACTGAAAAATATTTTTAATTTATTAATTAATTTTTCTAATAATAAATAAACATAATTTTTTTTTTTTAAATCACTGGACAGTAAACAGATACAAAAGTAATTAGTTAAAATAATTTTTTAAAAATCACTGTACAGTAAACAGATACAAAAGTAATTAGTTAGTTTCATTTAGGTTATTTTATTTCCACCGAACTGTAATATTGTCTGGGTCAGGACCTTGTGGAGGATGTGAGGTCTGATTGGGATTAAATAAACTGGAACACGTAAAATCTTGTTGCTGGTTGTTGATCAGTGGACCAGAAGAGAGGGTTTTAGGCATGGAGGGATCATCACAGAATTCCTCCAAAGATCCGTAATTAATTTCATACGGAGAGCAGCTCACAACTCATTGTCATGCCAAGCAAAACTATTTAGAAGAGGAATTGGAGAATCGCCATGGTGTCAGATCTGTCTGTAGGAAAAGGAGACTGCTGAACGGCTTCTCTTCTTTTTTAACCATGCCAAGGGCAGCTGGTTTGCATGTAGCTTAGGGTCCAGACCTGATAAAGAGGGGCTCACCGAGTTTGCTGACTAGTGGTTTACTGTCAACGCTAAATTGGAGCCAAGCTACTCAAGGGATCTAGCTGCAAACCTTGCTTGTTTGTTTTGGGAAATTTGGAAGGCTAGGAATAGTTGCATTTTCCAGGGGAAGGCTACAGTCACGAAGAAAACAATTTATTTAGCAGCCAAATATGCAGGGGATCGAGTTTAATCAAGTGCTCAAATGTTTGAAACCAGGGAGAGGCCTCTTTATGGAAATGTTCCGAGCAATCAAGTCTGGGTCCTCCATCTAGAAATAATCTAAAGGTGAATCGCGACACATCCTTTACGGACTTTAATGTCTAAACCTGTAGGGATTGGTGGGGCCTGTCGAAAGTACAACAGGGCAATAATTATAGACGGAAAATCGATCAAGAAATCGTGCAGGTCTCCGCTGCAAGGAGAAGCACTAGCTAGCACTATTCGAAGGTTTGAAGGTCGCTGCATCTCTAATTAAGTCCTGCCACTGTAACCATTGAAATTGATTATTCCCCATTGGTACAAGCCATCCGTGCATTAGCAGGTTCTAGGATATTGTTGTCGTTATTTGCAAGATCAAGTCTTTGCTCACACGGTGCCCGTATCTAAATGTGAATTTGATAGGTAGTCAGTGTCGAACAGGTTGGGGATTGGGTGGCAGTTAAGACAAGCTGGTTGTCCTTGTGCCCAAATATTATGACTGCATACACAACCCTCCGGCCGAGGTGGATGGCTGGATGCTAATATCGTAACCGAAACAAAAGCAACAATCATCATAGCAATAAATAAATAAATAAATAATCAAGAAAAAGGATACCAAGCACTGGATCTACTTAAACAGAAACTGAAACGATTCTACAAACATAGAATTGAGTAAAAACAAAAATAGTAAGGGGGTAGGAAAATAAAAGGGAAATGAAAAAAAAAGGACGACGAAAACAAAGAAAAAAAGAGCACGTGTAAAATTACCACCAACCATTACGTAATTAATCACAACGAGAGACGCTAAATGATTAGATTTAGAAAGTGTTTGGTTGATTCCTACAAAAAAGATTTAAGATTGATTTAAAAAATATTTTTAAATTATTAATGTAATGATATTCACAAAATTATTATTTAAATATATTTTCAAAAAGAAATCCTATCCACGTTACACTTGATGTATCTCCTGCCAACCAGGAAATTAATTCAGCCCTTCAGAGCAATCACCAGCCAGTACAGTATGGAATGTCCCACGAGCACAAAACTAATTTATAAATGCCAATATATCTGTACTTGTCGAAAGGTTGTCGGTTGGTGAGTGAACGGTGTTTGTTTTTTTTTTAATTGTTTTTTATATTAATATCAAAAATATTATTTCAATAAATTTTTTAATAAAAAATATAAATTCTATTATAATCTACGTTACTAAAAAGATGACAGGCATATAAAAAATTAGACGCATTGCTAGGGTAATTTCTTCATTTTTGTTTTAAGACTAAAAGGTATTTCCTACTAATTTTCGGATGTCAATGCTTAATCCATCCTCAAATCTTATTTTAGATAGGCTCTCATGTGTGAAGAATTATTGCTTGTTCTGGTTTTTCTGTAGAACTAAACCCAGCAAAGGAAATGAAGTCCTCTTTCATATATAAGACAGCGTGTGCTTTTAACTGAGAAAACATGATTATATTGGGGAGATAGTGCTAATTAGATAAATTACTGTGTGCCAATAAGTGGAGCAGAAGTCGTCTTCTTCTTCTATTGTGGCTGCGGGCGAGCAGCCACAGTTTTTCTTGTTTGGTAATAAGCAAAATTCATAATTTTGTTTTGGGTAAAGCCTATCCTTTACAAGGATGTGCTGTAGATTTTCAAGGAGTAGCTTTTTATTATTTTTTACGTTAAGAATTTACTCATAAATAATATAACATGATTTATTATTCATGAGTTTTTTTAATAAATAATTAAATATATCTTTATTATTCATGTAAATAATGAAGTATGACTTTACTATTTACATGAATAATAAAAATATTTTTTATTATTCAACTGAATTAGTCCGGTATAAAGTTAAAAATATATTAAACCTGTTTGACCCTATAAAATAAAAAATATTTTTATTTTTAATTATATTTTATTCAAAAAACTAGTTTTAAATATTATTCGATAACATTATATAAATTAGATAGAGATTACTTGATAACATAACATTTACAGAATTTGATCACAATTTTAATTTTATTCTTAGTTAAATTTTAGTTAATATTTATTTTATTTTTAGTTAAATTTTACTTGATATTTTTGTGCTATTAAGAAATTTATAAAAACTATAATCATTATCGGATGTATTTCATAAATGATGGAATTATAAATAGTTTAATGAAATAATAAAAAATATTTTATATAAAATATTATATATTTCATGATATAGTAGCAATAGTTAAATTTATAATATTTAAATTAAAAATCACATATATATATATATAAATTATTTTATAATTTTAATTTCAAAAGCTTTTTTAACTAAATATATTAAATTATTTTTTCTTTAACTTTAATTTTAATTAAATATATATTTTTCCAAACAAACTTTAACTAAAATTATTTTTTAAGTTATTATTATAATAATTATCACAGTATTAAACACATCCCGAACGTAAAGTCAGAGGGTAACTCCAGATAAAAAGGGCCAGATTGACCACGTTTGTGGAGAAATTACGTGTGTACTCTTTTCTCGTTTGATTACCTCTTTAATGAATTGAAAATTCATTAAGAAAACCTCTTCGTATCTGTTACTCTGTTTTAAAAATGAATGGCTGTATGTAAACTAAATAAATAAATAGATAGACATGGATGATTGCTTTTAATTAATTAATTTATGGCATCTCGACAGTTGACCACTATACACCATTAAAAATTAATAAAAAGAAACTCTATTAGGCCACAATTATCCCATCTTCTCCCATTAGTTTTTTAATATTAATAAAAAGTAAAATTAATTAAAGTATATATAAGCTAATTCAAATACTTATATTAATAAAAAAAATATTAAAAAATTTGTAAAATTTATTATTAAAATATTTTTTATTTTTATATTAAAATAATAAAAAAATTAAAAATTTATTTATAACTAAAAGTAAAATAAAATTATCAAGAATTGTATGGTGATGCAAACTAAGCTCTACTTAAATTTTAAAGAAAAATAATTTATTTAAATTTAATAATTTTTATATTATTTTGTATTTTGGTGTTCTAATATAAAAATATAAAAATTATTTTAATATATTTATAAATAAAAATTATTTTTTATTAAATTTTAATAATGTTATCAACGCCCTCTAATAAATCTCTGTCAGGTAAATGGCAGAGTTCACCCGGAATCTTTGAATACGATTAATTTATCCATGTATAAATACTGTAGCTTTGAGTTGTAGCCTGTAGGAGCTAGCTTACCTTACATCAAATTTCCTTAATTTTTTTCGCGGTCTATACTCTATAGCTAACCCGTGTTCTCTCATGGCTAAATCCTCCACGGTTAGGGTTGTAGAGCACTGCAAAGTCTCTCCACCGCCCAATTCAGCTCCACCAACTATTCTTCCACTAACTTTCTTGGATATACCATGGCTATTTTTCTCTCCAAGCCAAACTCTCACTTTCTATGGATATCCACAATCCACCTCTCACTTCCTGTCCACCACTATCCCCAAGCTCAAGCACTCTCTATCCCATGCTCTCCAACATTTCTTTCCTTTTGCTGGAGACCTTGTTTTGTCCCCAGCAGGATCCAATAAGCCTAAAATTGTTTACAATGAAGGAGATTCTGTCAAATTGACGGTTGCTGAGTCTAGTGGTGATTTCAGTTACTTTACAAGTAATTATGCAAGAGATGTCAATGGGTTTTACCCTCTTGTGCCTAAACTGGCTACTACCAGTTCTGTGGCAACTGGCACACAAGAAGAAGTGGTTCCACTGTTTGCCGTCCAGGTTACTGTTTTCGCAAATTGTGGGATTTGCATTGGTCTTGCTTATCATCATGTGGTTGCCGATGGAAGGACATTCAACAATTTTATCAAGGCATGGGCCCTATTAAGCGCACATGACTGTTCTATCTCCATCGCTTCATTACCATCTTACAATCGGTCAGTGATAAAAGATGAACATGGGCTCGAGAAGATTTTCTTGAAGGAATTGTGGAAGAGAAAATCTTCACAAGAAATGGTTCCAGGACCTGAAGCCCAAGTTGATTTGCCAAATATGGTCCGAGCGACGTTTGTGGTGAGATTGGCAGACATGGAGAGGATCAAGAATTGGATAGTCGTTCAATGCAAGAGCAAGAATCAACCAGAACCTGTACATTTATCTCCATATGTGTTAGCCTGTGCTTTTCTTTGGGTTTGTTTAGTGAAAGCTAAAATTCAGAGGGGTGGAAGTGAAAAGCACTGCTACTCAAGGGGGGAGGATCCGATTTATCTTGGCTTTATTGCTGGTGGTATGACCCGGATAGACTTTCCGGTGCCCACCACATATTTTGGTAACTGTGTTGGGTTTGGACGGTCCACGGCAACCAGGAATGAACTAATGGGAGAAGATGGGATAATTGTGGCTGCAAATGTGATTGGAAATACAATTAGAAGGTTGGATAAGGCAATGTTTGGCGGGGCAGAAAAATGGATTGCAGAATGGGATGCAATGCTTGGGTCGGTGATCCATGTTATTGTTTCTGGGTCTCCGAAGTTGAATCTCTATGAGACGGATTTTGGGTGGGGGAGGCCCAAGAAGATAGAGGATACTTCGATCGATAAAATGAGAGCCATTTCACTCATCGAGAGCAGGGACGAAAAGGGTGGAATTGAGGTAGGCTTAGCCCTCCCTCCGGTTCAAATGGAAGCTTTCAAGACTCTCTTTATTCAAGAACTCGAGGCTCTTCAATAATGGTCCATCCGTCCTTTGGCATGTCTGTTTCTTTTATTGAAAGGAGATGTTCGATACCGATTTGCTGTTGACATTGGCAACACATTGAAGATTTGAATTTTGTATGAATTAATGGCATTTAATATGAGGTTCTGTTAATCTGAATCGTTATTCAATTTTTATTTTTTGTGGTGGTCTGAAGCAGCCTCTTATTTTTGTGGCGGTCGGGCACCAGTTGCTAGGACGCCGTTGATTTTTTCATAAATCGGGTCGGGTTATAAAAAACATTTATCCAGAGTTAATCGATTAACTCAACGAATTAAACTAGGAGCTTATCGATTGTGGCCAATTTTTTCTTAAATAAAAATCATGTCAACTTTGTTTTCTTTTAAAAAGCAAGCACCAGTGCCATGCGCTATCTTAATAAAGTGCCACGTAAGTGAATTAATTATTAAAAGTGAGCATAATTAGTGCGGAAAAGACAACCAGCTTTTTTAACTCCACTATCCACGTTTTCTCTATGAATTTCTTTGCTATGTTGTTTCTTTCTCGCAACAGCCCAAACAGATTAGTGATTTTTTTTTTTTTATTGTTAATTTGATAAATCTTCATAGTTTGAAGAGTTGCCATCTATATATGATATATCCACGTCTGATGAAAAACTTATATAATAATTAAATATTAGATATTATAGCAAACTATTTTTTAAAAGGTAGATGTGTAATGCTATTATGTATAAAAAAAGAAGAATGCCCAAATACCCTACCCAAATACCCTTATCAAACGCCACTTATTTTTTATTTTTGGAAATATTTTAGTTATTTTATTATTTAAAAATATTAAAATAATAAAAATATCCGTAAATAAATTAATAATAACTTGTAAACTCTTTAAAAATATCAAAATACTCCTAATCCAAAAAATCACTACCAGAAATTCAGTGAAAATCAACGGAATTACCAACAAAATTTTTTCATTTGTAATTTTTACCGATAAATAATTTCATCTCTACTTTGACCAGTATATACTGACAAAAAATATCAGTAGGCAATACAGTCGGTATATAATAACAAAATACATCTGTAGGTATATAACGATCGTATCACCGATGGATTATAGAGTTTTTTTCTTTTGAAAAGTTGCAACAGTATGATGACATAGATTTTTTCAGATGATTTTACATGAAAATCTATGGAATTACCGAAAAAAAATTTTATATGTAATTTTTATCGACAAATAATTTCATCTTTACTTTGATCAGTATATACTGATAGAAAATATTCGTAGGCAATACGGTCGGTATATACTAACAAAATACATTTGTAGGTATATAACGATCGTATCATCGATGGATTATATAATTTTTTTTTGAAAAGTTGCAACAGTGTGATGACATAGATTTTTTCAGATGATTTTACCGATAGAATGACCGATGGATTCAAATCGGGATCTTGGTATAGTGATGTGGCACGGTCACTAGTGGATTTACGGATGGAAACGTTCTGTCAATGATTCCATGGTAAAAGCTAATATATATCCACTTTGCTGACATTCTCTTTCTCTATTTCTCCTTCTTCTTCTCCATCCCAACTCTCCCCTCCCAAATTGCATACAAACACCTATTCGAACTCTCTCCCTCTTCTCAACACAAGCACTCGAGTTTCTTATACTTTTATACATGGTCACAACATCCGTTCTTCGAGCAATTTATTATGGATTTGATCATTTTTTGTAAGTAAACCTATCATTTTTAGTTTTAACATTTAAATGTCAATTTTATTATTTATTATTTTTTTAGTATATGTTTTTTGTTAACATATGTACTTGTTTGATTGTTATTTATCAAAGAAACTTGTAGTAGCATGAATGTATAATTTTGTAGTTGTTATAGGCATGAATGCATAATTTTGTAGTTGTTATAGTTTGTTTTAGATTTTATCAAATTGTATTTGTTTGTAAATTGTTAAAAATTTATTTGAATTACACCGAATTAGATGTGTTGTGATGAAATAAATAATAGCTTGTTTAACGGGTTTATTTTAATTTTTATCAATTCTATTACGAAGTTGTGATATATATATATATATATATATATATATATATTGATAATTGATAATGAATATTTAACATAAGTTTTTTTTTTAGTTTGTTAGATAATGTCAGGGCAAACCAATATTTTTGTAAATTTATTATGTAACATAGTTAATTAATACATGTTCTCGTCGTAATTTTATAAAGATTCGATAGAAGTCATGGATGATCGTTCATAGATGTATTGGGACTCACCCCAAGGATTGTGGATGATGGATTATTGTAACGGGGTTCAAGGTTTTATTAATTTTGTAACATTTATTCCAAAATTTTTTACTAATATTGTAACAATTTATCTTCTAACCAAAGGGTTCATGGAGGATTATCTGTGCTGGTATGCACACGAACAACTATTTGTTCCTAATGAAAGCATGGTAAAAAGGATGGTTGGGTCAACTTCTAGTGCTAGCAACGTGTATGAATTTGAAAATGACAATAATAATCCTTATAGGAATATGATTATGGATGCAATGAGAATAAGTGAAGGTAATGTTGGTGAATGACCAATCATAGAAGAAGAACCTAATGCAGATGCAGCAAAGTATTTTTATCTGTTGAAAGATTTTGACGAACAATTATGGGATGATTGCACGAACAACAGTAAATTATTAGCCGTAGTATAGGTATTCACCATAAATCAAATTATAGGTTAAGTAAGACCGGTTATGACAAGATTATTGAATGAGCGAGAAGTATTTTATTTGAAGGGAACAGACTAAAAGAAAACTTCTATGCTGCAAAATCCATGATGAAACCCCTCAATTTGGAATACCAGAAAATTGACATGTGCCCTAACTTCTACATGTTATACTACCTTGAAAATGCTGAGCTAATCGAGGGTATGACATGTGGGCATTCCCGTTACAAACCCAGAACTGGTAGGGAAAAGACTCTCGTAGCATATAAAAAACTTAGATACTTTCCAATAACACCTAGACTGTAAAGGTTATTCATGTCACTAAGGACTGCTGAGCAAATGATATGACACCAATCACATCACGCGGTTGATGGAGGGATGATACATTCTTTTAACTACAAAGCATGGAAACACTTTAACAGTATGCATCTTTGCCTTTCAGTTGAATTAAGGAACGTGCATCTTAGGTTATGCACAAACGGATTCAACCAATTCAGGTCATTTGTTGTTTCTTATTTTGCTGGCTGGTCATACTGATGATTTATAACTTACCACCGGGGATGCGTATGAGGTTGGAGTTCATGACCATACCAGATCCGAGCAATTCGGGTGGAATATAGATGTTTGCCTTCGACCATTGATTGATGAATTAACGCAGTTGTGACCCTTTAAAGCTTTGACTTATGATATCTCATGGAAATAAAATTTTGTTATGAGAGCGGCTTTGATGTGGACTATCAATGATTTCCAAGCTTATGGAATGGTTTTTAGTAATAACATGCATGAAAAACTAGCATGTCCATATTATATAGAGAACAATAAGGTATTCACATTAACAAACAGGGTTAAAGCTTCTTTTTTTTATTGTTACCATCGTTTCTTGCCACAGAATCACTGGTATAGAAAGAACAAAAAAGGATTTCTTTGTTGGTAGAGTAGAAAAAAATGTTGCACCCCCGTATCTTTATGGTAAAGAATTGCATAATATTGTGTCAGAGTATGGTGGCATTGTGTTTGGTCTCTAGTCAGGTTAACAAAAGTTTTCTAGCTTTAGTTTGACCCATAATTAGGTAAAGCGAAGGATCTTTTGAGATCTTCTTTATTGAAAGACCAATCCGCTCCGTCATAACCTTGACATTAGGCACATTGAAAAGAACATATTTGAGAACATTTTTAACACCATCATGGATGTGAAGGAGAAGACAAAGGACAATATCAAGGTTAGATTGGATTTAGCGTTGTTCTGTAACCATAAAAATATGGATTTGGTTTGTGATGGGTTACGAGTTGTAAAACCAAGAGCAAGCTTCATGTTAGAGAAAAACACATAATTACTAGTCTACAAATAGCTTAAGAGTTTGTGTTTTCCCGATGGACATGCCTCAAATGTATCAAGGTTACTTAATATGAAGGAATTTAAATTATATGGAATGAAAAGTGATGACTGTCATGTGTTTATACAAACACTTATTCCATTAGCTTTTTGTGATTTATTGCCAAAGACGATATGAGATGCACTTATAGAGATTAGTCATTTCTTCACAAATATATGCTTAAGCAATTTGAATGTTGATCACATTGAAAGGCTTGAAACGAATATTATCGAGACAATATGCAAACTTGAGATGATATTCCTGTCATTATTTTTTGACTTAATGGAGCATCTACCTGTACATTTATCGTTTAAGGTAAAAGTTGGAGGATAGGTCCAGTATAGATGGATGTATCAATTCTAGATGTTAAATATTACAGTTGCTATGTAATTTATAATTAAACATTTTTTTTATTTTTTTTAAATTGATAATTTTTTATTAATTCTATATATGCAGGTACTTGTTTAATCTTCAAAAAAAAGTTAAGAACAAGGCGTATATTGTGCATGTCAATACATGATCCCTATATTGTTGAGGAGATCTTAATATTTATCTCATGCTATTTGAAACCTCATTTAAAAACGAGGATAAAACGTGTTCCACTATATGATTGTGGTGGTGATATTCTCTAATCCTAGACCATTTACACCTAAAAATGCTGTCAGGGAAAGATATTTGTCTGAAATAGAGTTTAGACAAGAACATAATTATATTTTATTTAACTATAATGAGATGAGACCTTTTATTAAATTAGAAGATGTTTGACTTAAACTTTGTCAAAAGTATACTATTTATATATTGTGATATCATAAACTTATATAATTTGGAACAACCTTCCAGGTAACATCGACGATACTTACTATTCAATAACTCATAGTTGACCAAATCCTAGATCTTTTAATTACAAGATGAATCATTTATCACGTGGTTTACAACATATGCAAGTCCTGTCACA